AAGGGAAAATAAGAAAGAAGGTTAGGCAATTGAGAAAATTTTAACATGGTTAGATCGGATATTATAGGCATAGGGTTGAAAATAGATACGATGATCGACTTGCAATTGGAAAAAAAACTTGTAATCGGGTAGAGGATAAACATCAGAAAATCAGTGCTATGGTGCCACTTTACTTTAGCATGGACAGCGGAACTAAAAATTAGCATAAAGCAAAAAGACAATTATCTAACCAATGAAGGGTTGAAAGGTAAGCAAGAAGAACTAAAATTAGTGCTTATGGTGATTTTCTTGTAATTACAATTAGATGTTTGATTTTTTTTTTTTTTTTTTAATTTATTCACTGGGAGCCCAAAATGACCGAAATAACATTGCAGTCTATACAACAGAAGTAATCGTCCTATTGACTAATCAAATTTAGTAAAAACTCGTGGTGGAGAATACTCGAACTCAAAAGCTCCACTCCTCATGTAATCGAGAAGACTAATCATACCGGATTGACAACTATCTATTTAATTTTTATTTTTCTAAAGAAAAATCATGTATATTTTCTGAAAATTCATAAAGAGAAATAACCCATATGAGGTTTGACTTCAAAATTAGATCCAAATTTAATACATTAAATTTATTAATTACAATTAGATATTTGATTTTCTTTTAAAGAAAAATCATCTATATTTCTGAAAATTCATAAATAAAAAACCACAAATATATTATAATTCTGAAATCTCTGCCTTTCCATCTGGCGACTAGCTTTCCTGACCTTCGATAGCTAGCATTCCTTCAACGTTTCACGGTAATTGATTGAAAGAAGTCAAATTGATCATTAATTTAAAACCTATCTTCCCAGTCAATAAAAACAACAAACTGAAAATAGGGAGAAGGAAAGTTTATCTGTTCACTTTGCAGGAAAAAATGAATAAGGATCTAAATGTTTTTTTATTGTCAAGACCTTTACATATCAATACTCTCTTTTTTTATTAAAATTCAATTATGGCTTCTAGATAACAAATGAAAATTTTATATCGTTTGTGTTTCTCTAGTCCAAGTATAAATAATTAATCTACCTTTGATCAAATTAGAATAAATAAGTGGCGCAATAGCTAGGTAAATGCACGGAAAAGATAAAAAAAAGACTTATGCTAATTAATAATATTGAATTATAGATAAGACATGACTATATCCAGTGTAGGTAAGTTTTTTTCGGTATAAGTAAGTCTTTCTCGGTGTAGGTAAGTCTTTAGTCATAAACACCCTCGTTTCAAAAAATAATAATAATAATTTTGATTAATTTTAGTGTATCATATACCTGATATATATAGGTCTTTTCCGAATTTCACATGTAAGTATGGCGGCTTTCTATCAACATGTGAAAATGGAGTGACATTGGTTATTAACAAAATTAAGCAAGAAGAATTATGGGAAGCGCAGTGTAGAAAAAGATTAAAGCAAAACTAGAAAAAATAATTCGTTTGTAGTCAAAAGCCGACGCAAATATATTTCTTTATGGAATCATGTAATGCATCTAGAAAGTTGCCTGCTGTTTGTTCTCTATTTACAACCACCATTCACGGCAACCTATCCATCACAAACTAGATATTTCTTTACGGAGTGTTTACCACTAATAGTCTGCTTCATTGGTGTTTTCTTTTTCTTTTTGTTTAGTTTCCATCAAGATGTAATATTTTTATTGTCCATTTATATAGGTGAGGTTAATTTAAATTTAGGTTAAGAATGATATTTAGATAGGGTCTTTAGCGATTTTAAATTTTAAATTATAAAATCATTTTAGCTGATAAATAGTTCTTTTTCTTTCATGTTAATTTGAATAAAATATTTAAATTAAACTTTAAAGATTTATATAGTGTGTATGACAAAGTGAATTAATTAATTCAATTTGGTTTGAATATTAATACTCCTATTATCCCAAGCTATGATGTAGATAAACTTTCCGCTGTACAACATTCCCGCCTTTTATTTTCTTGTAAAAAATCTCTCTCCCTCTCTTTTTTTTTTTAATGTAAACTTATATTTAAAATGTTTTTTCCTCTTATTTTTATATTTTTGCATTCTCGTTTCCGTGCTACATAGGTTGCAAAATTAGAATTATCAACTATGCGGGTGGTAAATAGTAACCTCACTGCACGGTTCTATGTGTTTAGCACTCTAGACTTTGAATCCTGCGACTTGTATAAAACGTAATATCCCTCTTGGTTTGGAGTAGATTTTTGAAAATGTTAAACTTTTCATTTTATTTTTAATTTTAATAAAAAAAATATTTTGTTGTTGATGAAAAGAAAAAAATAGTAACCCCATTGATCTTTAACTAGGCTAAGATTTGCTAGTATATTAACCACTAGCCAAACCATTAAGCATATAAGATAAAAGGGAAAGATTTATTTACACTAAACGTAAACACCCAATATGTATAATAGTACAATTGATCTACGTAGAGTTACAGTATTTAATGAATATTATGGTTGTCTTTTCATTGAAAAGAAAATTAAGTAACAAAACAGTAATAAAGGAAGTCAATTTCTCGGTATCAATTAACTATTCACTAAGCGTATGAGATACATAAATAATATAATCGTCAATCAGGTATGGTGGTCTGATTGGTCTTTCTACTTATGTGAAGAGTGAGAAGTTTCGAGTTCGAGTTCTCTCGATCACAATTGATTTCACCAATTTGGTGAGATAAAGGGAGCGTTATCCTCTGTTGTGTAGCCTGCAGTATAATTTCGACTTATAGAAACCCTCCAATGAATTAAAAAAAAAAAAGTAGGATAAACATAGTTCGATAATTTTTGCAAATATCTATTTTATTTAAATAATTATTATTTTTATAAATATATTATATTTCCTACTCAAATAATTGATTTAATTATATTCTTACAATATTATTTATGAGTTAAATTTTTTAATATCTTCTCGTCTCTCTCTATTTTTTTTTTTTTATATAACATCTCCCATCCTATTGAGTGAGATCTAATAAATCTAGACTCTAAGGTTGTGCTTAAGAATTTACCCACTAGATGGTTTCCTTCATAGATGTGTCTTGGGTTCTAAATCATTGATAAAAGTTAACCCACACCGTGAATACGTAAGTAATATAGCAAAAGTGAATTAATTAATGCAAGTAACCCTATTGGTCTTTAAATAGACTAATTAAGCTTTGGTAGTGCAAGCCACTAGCCAAACCATTAATACAATTTTTTGGGTTAAGCCATTAATACAATATTTTGACTATTGAGAAGTAACCCTAAAAATTCTTCATTAGAAGATTTGCTATAGCCAATTAGCCATTAATCTTCAATTGATAATCTCAATTAAGTTACCAAAAAGATTTCTATTAGGATATCAAATCAAAGGCCAAACCTGTAATTTCACCCCGAACTTTTCTAGTAGTTGAAATTTCACTATAAATCGATATTTATACTCTTTGAATTTATCAACTAGTTATAATTACACCATAATTTAAATTAATATCCAATTCATTATTTTTGCATCTTAAAATTGGCTCAATTTTAAAATAAAATATTCAACCTTGATTATTTATTTATTTATCATATGCATACTTGAGTTTGATTTTATTATTTATTGTTTAAATACTTGGTTATGGAGTTCATTTTTTTACATAACTTTAATCAAAATTTCAATCTTAGTTTATTTTTAGGGTGCACTTGCAATAAATTGCAGTTCAGGATGTTGTAATTCACTTTTAGAGTGCAGTAGCAAATTAGGGTATAATTGTAAGTAGGGTGATAAGTTCATTGTGCTCAAGGTACAAAAGTTGATTTAGAGTAAAATATAACTATTTAAAAAGTTCAGGGTAAAATTGAAGGTGGCCAACAGATTCGAACTCAAGATCTTTACTCCCACATATAGTTTCTTTAATTATTAATACGTACATGCGAACTAAAATATTATTCCATCATCAAAATTACTGCATACAACAAAACAAACTTAGTATAATAACCATTAATAGAATTTAATTTAATAAGGTCGCTCCCCCATTACTGGCCGGATCATACATGTAAGTAACCAAAGTTCCTCCGAAGGTACACCTAACCCTAGCACATCCTACACGAGCTGAATTTCGCCAAACGACTTGAATGTAGTGACTAAATATTTTCCTGTAGTACGTGTTAGAACTATAAGCATAAAAAGATTTCTCATCAATGCATAGTTTCACAGCTTCATCTGCGGTTAGCTCACCACAGCTCCATGCCAGACTTTATCGCACTGCAATCACTAATGCGTTGACAAGCATGGTTTAGTGAATGGATTGCTAATAATGTACTGTTCCAAGTTAAATTTCCAGAACCGGCAGCCATTCGAGCTTCATTGTGGAAAATAATGTAGTCCTGTGGCGAGTTTGATTTGTTTAAAAAGAACCAAGTTTGAGCATATAGTGGACTATGCTCCTTTTAAAAAGAGCTAAATTTTGAGCTCGGCCAATTTGCAATTTTTAACTAAAAACTGTGATTCATTACATTTGAATTTGAGCTCAAGATTATAATGAACAGGCTTGCGAGTTGACTAGGAATTTCTTTTTGGAATCCAAACAAAATGGAAAAAAAAATTATTTTTGAATTCTTTGGAAAGGAGAGAGATATATGGTTGTTTTTTTTTTTTTTTTTTTTTTAAAAAAAAATCGAAATAGGGATAAAGGTTTAGTAAAAAAATCCAAATAGGGATGTCAAATTGTTAAAACTTATCAGATAATTTAATAAGCCATCTTAACTTATTTAATTAATTATTATAATTAGATGAGTTGACGGTAATGAAGCAAATTGTTAGATAACCATCTTAACCCTTTACATACATAGATTAACATTAGTCAAGTATTTTTTTTAAAACTTATCAAATTAATTCCCAATATTGAAACTTAACTAAGACGTTCCAGCGGAAATCTCAAACCGTTTATACTTTTCTTATTTCATTATATATAATATATAGCTTATACATAAAAAAGTTCAATTTTGAGGTAATACTTCAACTTAATAAGGACGCTCCCCAATGTAGTTGCCAGGAGGATCATAGTTGCAAGTAATGAAAGTTCCTCCATTATTGCACCTCACCTTCGCACATCCTATGCGAACTGACTTACGCCAAACCACCTGAATGTAATGCCCACACACAGCAGCACAACTATTAGAGTTATAATTGTAAAATGGCTTTTCATCAACCCATAGTTTTACAGCTTCGGTGCCTGAAAGATCACCGCTACCCCAAGCTATGTTCTCTCCATAAGACCCCTTCGAATGCACGAGGCTACAGTCACCGATGCGTTGATTTGCATAATTTTTGGCATAAGCCGCCACACTATGAAAGAAGAAAAAGAGAGAGAAGAAATTGAAAAACAAAAGAGAGTAAAAAGCGAAGCTGAAAAGAAGAAAGAAAAAGGAAAAGGGAAGTTGGAAGAAATAGTAAAAGAAGAGAGGAAATCAGAAGAGAAAGAAGAGGAAAGAAAGAAGAGGAAAAGGAAATCACAAAAAGGCTGAAAGAAGAAGAAGAAGAACACAAAGAAGAGGAACTAGAAAGGAAAGAAAAAAGTAAACAGAAGATAAGAAAGCACTGTAGAGAAAGAAGATCAGAAAAAGGAACCAGAAAAAGAGCAAAAGAACCATGAAGAACCAGAAAAAATGGGAAAGAAAGCTGAGGAAGGCAGCGATGCTGAACCAGAGAAAATCAGAATCAGTGATGAGAAAAGACTATGAGGATAAGACAGAGCTATGAGTCTGAGTTATTATCGGCCCTCAAAGGAGTAGGGAAGCTATGCTGAAGAGAATAGAGGAGAGCTAATAATAGAAAAACAAGGAATTGATGAGGAAATACAGCAGTGTCAAACTTATATTGAACAATAATCAAATGACTCATCAAAACCTTGGAGAAAATGAACGGACTGTGGAACATAAGGAAGTTAGACATACTCTATAAGGTGAAAGAACACCCTACGTTCCCTCCTCCAAGAAAGCAAAGACTGTGAACATACTGCTGGCAACATAGAAGCACATGAAAAGCCTCACTGCATCGACAGAAAGTTCTTCTGAAACTGCTCCAGCTCAGCCTTTAAGAAGTTCTAAAAGACTTGGAACTGGTCCTAAGCCTCTTTGATCTGTTTTTTTTTTTTATATAAATTCTGAACAATTTATTTTTTTTTGCTTTATTTTCGTAGGATTATACTTTATTTGGAACTGTTTATTTTTTCTTTATTTTTGCTGTGACTATGTCTAACCCTTTTTATATGATGACAAAAAGGGGGAGAACAGGTGTTTTGATGGTACTTGGATGGTACTTGGTGACAGATATTTTTGGTGGTACTTGGCAACCACAAGGACTTTTATGGACTTATATTTTAGTGGTTATCTGTGTGTTTATTGTTTTCTAATATGGTCTATTTTTGGTGAGCTATACTTTAGAACTAAGATTCTTATTCTAACGACTGTTTTGCAGGTTGGGCAACGACTGTTTTGCAGGTTGGACGTAAGATCTTTCGCTCTATTTTTATCAGCTTCTATTCTATTTTATTGCTGTGACCATATGTTCTAAATATTAGAACTTAGAATATCCTATTTATCTTTGCTAGTTCTAACACTTGTGCTCTGATTGCTAGAACTTAGAATATCTTGTCTATTCTTTTGCAAGTTCTAAAATCATTTTCTAAAAAGACTCCCTAGTTTTTAATTTTCACAAAAATGTTTTACTGCATCTATTCAGGGGGAGCAAACTACATGTTCTAAATTGCTTCATACTAAAAATCTTTTGGCATGATTAGAACTTATATGCATAAAATTCAGGGGGAGCACATGTTTTTATATTTGCTAAATTTATTGGTTTTGTCATCATTTTGTCATCACCACATCAAAAAGGGGGATTGGCTCAAGGGTCAAAATTCTTATCTCGGATTTTGATGATTAATACAAAACAAATAAATTTAAATTATATTATTTGTGCTAATTTTATTTTATGCAAAAATCCTTTGGAAAGAAAATCATACAAGGCAAGTCCTACTTTGAGTGTAAAGATTTCTAAGACCCAGTAGCTAGGTATTTAGGGTATTTTGTAAGATAGAGAGAAATTCCATATATGAGCACATAAAATATTTTTCTCTCACTCAAAAATATTTTTCGGAAAATTAGTTTTCTTCAAATAATTTATTTTCGAAAATATTCCTTTAAATCGAAAAGATTTATTTTCCTAAAATCGAAAAGATTTATTTTCCTAAAACTATAGAGATTTCTTCTCTTAATGTTTTTGGTAATAAAAATCTTTTTCTTTTTCGGAAATATTTGTTTGAAAAGTAGAATTTATTCTCTTACCTTAAAAACGAAAGGGAATATCTTTCGGTTTTAGTAAGAACATCTTTTCCGCAAATAATTCTTTCCAAATATTGCTGTCGAAAATTTCTTATTTAAAGGAAAGCAAAACCGGGTTTTATTCTCTTACCAAAAGAGATGAAATAATCTTTTGGTAACAAAATTTTCGATTTTGTTTTGTTTAAGGAATGAAGATATTCTAATTTCAAAACAAAATTATCTCTTTCCAAAAGCGACAGCTACTTAGCTTCCTATATAAAGGAACATTCACGCCTTATTCATTTGGTGAAGTAAGAGTATTTGTTTTAATTTGTTTAAGAGCACTCTCTCTTCATTGAACGAATCATATTCTCTAAAAATAGTTACTCACTCCCATTTTCTTTTTCATCTCTACACTTTTAACGTTTTTTATTATTCAGTTGAAAAGAATTTTTACAATGCTTTGAAAACAATTCTGTGTTGTAATCGATCTTCTAATCTGATTAAAATTGTTTTTTCCTGTGCTTATATGGGCGTTTCTTTTCTGTCTATTTAGATTGCTTGTAAATCTATAGTAGACAGAGCTCTTTATTTGTTTAAACTTTTTGTGTGTAATAGCTTAGATTTAGAAGCTATTGAGATAGAGGTTAATCAAGCGACCTTTTCTCCATGTGTGGGATAGTAATGTTTGAATCGGAGTTTTCTGTACTCTACCAAACATGAAAGGGTTGAGGTTAATTTTGCACCCTTTGAAATCTAAATGGGACAAAAAGGGAGATCTTAGGTTTTTGATCTATTTGCCTTTGTACTGTTGGTTTGTTTCTTTCTTACCCTTTTTAAAAGATGATACTTAGGTGGAGGATCTCAAGATGCGTCTTGGGGAGTGGATGTAGGCGTGAGTTTAGTTGCCGAAACCACTATAACTCTCGGTTGTTGATCTCTTTATTTCTGAAGATTTGGTTGATCTCTTTATTTCTGAAGTTTGGTTGATACTATCTCTTTTACACTCTTGTTTAATTTTAGAAACGCTAAAATTGTTAATTATTCAGATGTTCTAAATCGGTAATAAGTCTTATCTATTCTGAACATTAGAACTCTGGTATTCTAATAAAGTGAATATACAAAGTTCTAACTGTTGTTCTATTCCCAGTATAATTCACTGTTTGGATTTCTATTTTATTCTCTAAACTTTATGAGGATGTTCTAATCCTGATAACTTTCCATCATAAAGTTACTCTAATATTTAATTAAGGCTCTGTGGAGTAGTTCTGAATTGTAAAAACTATCTTTCACATAGCGTTATCTGGTTTTGCAAACTTTATGAGGAAGTTCTGAGTTCGATAACTTTCCTTCATAAAGAAGCTCTGATATTGTACAAGTCAGTGTGAAGCTGTTCTAGAAGCTTGTTTCAATCAATAGTTGCACTTTGCACAAGCTTTCTATATCTGAAATTTAGAAACATTGTGAGGAGATTTCTATATCCCATATTCTACTTCTCACAAAGTTCTGTATGTTTTTCCGCTTGCACTTAGGAATTTCTAATTTTTAATTCTAATTTTTATTTAGAATTTCTAAAATTTATTTCAGTTTTTAGAAAACTCAATTCACCCCCCTTTTGGGTTGTGCCATACATATTCGGGACTCACATTATTAGTTGCAACTATTATCCTCCAGGGAACTATGTGGGTGAGAAGCCTTATTGAATTTCTATTGGTTAGAGAGGGATTAATGAAATAGGGCTAATTAATTAGCTTCGATTAATTAATATTTAATAATTACAAAACGAATTAATCAAACTGCTATATATCATATTAATGCAAGCAATATATATTTGTAATATGTATCAGAGAAATATTTTTCTTGCTAATATTTGTAATATGTATCAGAGAAATATTTTTCTTGCTATATATCAATGAAACTGCGAACTTGCTTTAATTATTACAGTTTTTTTTTTTTTCAATTTTAACATTAAAATTGGTGAAAAAATCTTGTGGTTGACAGGACTCAATTTGAGATATTTCATTCTTGACATAAGTGACAAAACTATAAGAGTTAAAATATTTTACCATTAAAAGTAACTTTTAAAATTTGCAATCTTCACTGTTAATAGCAACTTATAAAATTTTTCTAAACGAAATCACAGTTGTGAAACTGCTAATTTTGATTTTAAAGAAGGATGAAACCAAAATAGAATTGTTTATGTATGATCCCAAACAATCTATTATGGTTTTGGTTAAGATCCCATATTTTTTTTTTAAAATTTTTTAGTTTTATAACATGGATTAAAAAACTTAGTCATTTAAATATTAAACCAAATTAACTTGTCCTGACTTCAAAAGGGACAATAATACAAGATAGTGTCTTTATGCACAATAAATTTATAGAATGCATGTAAGTTAATATTTATACAAAATACCTAATGCACAATAAATTTATAGAATGCATGTAAGTTAATATTTATACAAAATACCTAATAAAATTAAATAAATAAAAAGAAATTATATCAATCAGGTGGTGGTTTGGTTGGTCTTCTTATTTATTGAGGAGCGAGAGTTCTTAAGTTTGAGTTCTCTTGATAAAAATTTTTAATGAGAAATATAATTCCTATAATGAGGAACAAGCATGTGCAACACTATGTACTAAATGGTACTAAATTTTAAAATTTGACTATAGAAGCACTCAATTTTATTTGATGTATTTGCAATAATTCCTATTTAATATGTTAAAATATCCTACTCAACCCTTGCTAATTCCACAAATTAAACGCTTAATGAATTTGTTGGTCAATTTTGATATCAAGGAGACATAGTCATCTCTTCCCCTAGAAAAAGCAAAAAGAAAAAGAAAGAGATGTGATAATTTCTGTATGCAAGATAAACGACCCATGATGTGATAATTTCTGTATGCAAGATAAACGACCCATAGAAATATGAATTTGACTTGTTTCATAAAGGAAAACATATATATACTACAGAAAATAACTTGCGCCACAAATTCCTTTTTCTTTTTCAGTATTGGTGATTCCGTTTCTGTTGGGATTCAAATAATTTATACGTTGGGCGGTTAATTTTTTGTTAGCATAATATCTAATGGCCAAAAAAAAAAAGAAGAGTAAAGATAACATTTTATTTTCCTTTTACATATATATTCTTTTACATATAGTAAAGATAACATTTTGTTTTCCTTTTACATATATATATAGATGAACTACAAGTAGTTTTTCAACTTGTCATATTAATTCTCCACATTGCAACTTAAATTGAGACATTGCATAGGAAATCTCAACCCTTTACAATGTTTCTTATTTCATTATATGATATATAATTTATTCTTAAAAAGTTAAAACTTTAAGGTAATACTTCAATCTAATAAGGACGCTGTCCAACGTAGTTGCCAGGAGGGTCATAGTTGCAGGTAATGAAAGTTCCTCCATTGTTGCACTTCACCTTAGCACATCCTATGCGAACTGAGTTACGCCAAACCACCTGAGTGTAATGCCCACACACCTTTCCGGCAGCACAAGTTAATGCCCACACACCTTTCCGGCAGCACAAGTATTAGAGTTATAGTCGTAAAACGCCTTTTCATCAACCCACAGTTTCACAGCCGCGGTTCCTGAAAGGTCACCACTGCTCCCTGCTAGGTTCTCGCCATAAGGTCCGCCTGAATGTACAAGTCTACAGTCGCCAATGTGTTGATTAGCGTAATTTCTTGCATAGGCCGCCACCGTGTTATCCCAAGTCACCGGACCAACTCCCACGGCCGCTCGAGCTGTGTTATGGGCATTCACGTAGTCTTGAGGTGAGTCTTGGGCATGTAAGGGAATAATTAAGGTTACACTCATTAGACAAATGAGGGGCAATAAAATTTTGGACAACATCGTTTTTGGTGTTGTGATTGAAAATAAGAGTTAGGGCAATTGATAAAGAAATTTTAAACATGTTAGCTTGGAATTAATAAGCATATGTAATTGGAAAATTAGATGATGGATGATGACTTCAAATTGGTTAAAAAAGTTGTACTGGGTAGAGAATTAATTGAGAAAATCAGATGCTATGGTCACTTTGCTTAGCACTGGACACGAACTAAAATTTGTAGCATAAAGCTAAAGAAAGGAAATTATCTAACCAATGAAGGTTGAAATAAGAGTGAATTTTCTGTAAGTATCAATTAGATGGTTTATTTTTTTTTTTTAATTATTATTCACGGGAGGCCAAAAGACCAAAAAATAATATTGCAGTCTATACAATAAATAGAAGGAATCCATCTTAAATTGACTAATCAAATTTTAGAAAACTTGTGGGTGGTGAGAATAATCAAACTCAAATTCTCCACTCCTCAATGTGAATTTTTGTTTTTTTAAGGAAAAATCATGTATATTATTTGAAAATTTCATAATAGAAATAGCCCATTATGATGTTTGACTTCAAAATTAGATCCAAAATTTAAATAACATTAATTTATTAATTAACAAATAAAGTTTTTTCATTTCTTTTAAAGAAAAATCAATCATATTTTCCTGAAAATTCAAAATAAAAATAAATCCCACTTAAGGTTTGACATGAAAATTAAATCAAAATTTAAAAATTAAATTAAACAAAGTTGATAGTGATGTGCTAACAATTACTTGTCTTAATGTAAAGCATATTTAAATATTAATTATGGTTAAAATTATATTTTATTAAATGCATTAATATCACATAATCTGGAATGTGAATAGTAGAAATATAGGAAACTTGCCAAAAAAAAGAAAACAAAGTCAAACAAAGGAGAAACGATATTTCCAATCACACAGGATCGACAAGTAGTGCAGGTTGTGCATTGCCTTATTATATATATTCCATTTTGCTTTCAATTAATTAAAAAAGAAAAAATACTATCTAGATCCATCTATGCCCCTTACATAGACACAGAGAATAATGTTCAATTAATTCATTTTAATTCCGAAAATTAAAATGAAAAAATAAATTGAATAAATCCAAAAAATATTCGTAATCTATTCTTCCCTCCTCTAACCTTCAGCTCTGCATGGTGATTTTGTTTCGAGATTTATTTTAAAATTCCACATCTTGGTAAATCTTCCAAAATGTCTATTCTCTTATTTTTTTCTCTGTGGTTGTTTCCAGTTTTAGTTTCGTTAGGACTCTCTTTCATTGCGTGCGGTAAATTTGCCAAATCTCAAAAAGAACTTCATTTTTCTTATTGAGGATTCAAAAGTTTATTTTGGAGAAAATTTTAAAATTTTTTTACAGGCCATAATCGGAAGATGTTGCCAGTTTTGTTGCATTAAATTCCTTGTTTTTTCCTTTATTGGCTTTCATTATTGTTCTGCTACCAATTTATCTCAACCTTACTATTAATCCTCACACACAAAAGCATAGATAAGAGCGGATATTTATGGAAAGAGAGTTATGTCTTTTGGAATTAAAAATTTAAATAATAATAATTTAATTTTTTTATTGATTTGGTCTATTCTGAAATTAATAGATCGATCTCCAATTCCTCTCGATTAATTAAAAAAATTAAAAAAGAAATTATCAAATAAATTTCTGAGTAAATAATAACTAAGATTCCTTAACAAAAAAATCGAGGTATTACTTCAAGCTTTTATAAGGCCTAACTGCGTTAAGTTAGAAACAAAAAGGTGAATTATTGCTTCCACTCTTATGGGCCTGATGTGGACATTGAAGCATGAATTAGTTTAGTCGAAATGAGTTAGGGACTCAACCAATGTAATAAACCAAATATATTTATAAATTCGATATCCTTGCCTTATTCCATCTGGCGGCAGGATTATCCTTACCTTGATAGCTAGTGTTGCTTTCATTGTTTCACGTAAATTGAATTGAAAGGAAGTCACACATTTGATCATTAATTTTAAACCTAAGTTATTTCCCAGTCAATAAAAAACAACAAACCTGAAAATAGGGAGAAGGAAAGTTATCTATTCACTTTGCAGGAGAAAAAGTTGAATAAGGATCTAAATTTTTTTTATTGTCAAGACCTACATACATCAATACTCCCTTTTAATATATATCAAACATATAAAAGTTATTAGTTAAAAACCCTAATGTAACTCAATAATTTTTGATTGTCAAGGAGACTAAAACATACTTCACCTGTTTTTTTTTTTTCAGTCCCAAATTTGATTAAAAACTAGTCCAAATCGTATAAGTCAGGAGCTAATTCACCTAGTTTATCTAATTTTAAAGGTTTAGGATTGATTTGATAAATGATTTAATTTTTATCTAATTGATTAAAATTCATATTATGGCTTCTAGATAATCAAGATGGAAAATTCTTTATCGTTTGTGTTTCTTTAGTCCAAGTATAAATAATTAAATCTACCTTTGATCAAATTAGAATAATAGGTGGCGAAATAACTAGGGTAAGATACTATGGAAAAAGAAAAAAAAAAAAAAAAAAAAAAGAAACTATGCTAAATAATAATATTGAATTATAAGATAAGACATGACTTACCCAGTATAGTAAGTCTTTTCAGAGTAGTTAATTCTTTTGGTCATAAACACCCTAGTTAAAAAAAATAATAATAATAATTAATTTTGATTATATTAGTCTATCCCTAATTTCTGATTTAGGTAAGTTTTCCGAATTTCCACTGTGAAGTATGCGGCTTCTATCAATATCTGAAAATGGAAGTGACATTGTATATCAAGAATTAAGCAAGAAGATATTATGGGAAAGCGACAGTGTAGAATAAAAGATTTAAGCCAAACTAGATAAAAATAATTAGTTGCAGTCAAAAGCCGACGCAAAAATAATTTTCTTAATGGAATTCATGTAATGCATCTAGAAAGTTGCTACTGTTTTTCTCTAGAATTTCTTACGATGTTACCACAATAAGTCTGCTTTGCATTTGGGTTATTCTTTTTCTTTTTGTTTAGATTCCATCAAGATGTGATATTTTTCCTCTTATTTTTATAGTTTTGGCATTCTTCGTTTTCCGTGCTAACATAGGTTACAAAAATAAAATTATCAACCTATGTGGGGTAAAAATAGTAACCCCATTGAAAGTTCTATAGTTAGTGGTTAGCACTCTGACTTCGAATCCAGTGACTTGTATAAAAACAAATAACCTTATTGGTTTGAGTAATTTTTTGAAAATGTTAAACTTTTCATTTATTTTTTTAATTTTTAAATAAAAAAATATTTGTTGCCTGACCAAAATGAAAAAAAATAGGAAACGCCATTTGAAATCTGTTAACTAGTGCTAAGGTTTCAGTATATTAACCCACTAGCCAAACCATTGGCATATAACTATAAAAAGGATAAGATTATTTACACTAAAACTTAAACACTCAATAAGTATAAATAGTGACAAATAATTCTACATAGAGTTATATGTTTAATGAAGATTAATGGTTGTCTTTTCAAATTGAAAAGAAAATTAATAAATAACTAAACAGTAATAAAGGAATCAATTCTCACTAACAATTAACTGTTCAATTTAATGTTGTAATAGATAAATAAATAATTATTTAAACGCCAAATTCATTAGTCGGTTGTTCTTCCACTATGTGCAGACGGGAAGTGTCGAGTTTTGATTTCTTCAATCACAATTGATTCACCAATGGTTGAGATAAAGGAGCGTACCCCTTCTGTTGTTGTAGCCTTGCAGTTATTCACATATAGAAACTTTCCAATGAATTATAAAAAAAAAAGTAGGATTAAAACCATATCGATAAATTTTTGAAAATAATCTATTTTATTTAATATTACTTATTTTATAAATATATTATATTTTCTAACTCAAAAAATTGATTTAATATATATTCTTACAATTTAATTTATTGAGTAAATTTAATATATTCGTCTCTCCTTTTTTTTTTTTTATATATATATAAAACCACTCCCATCCTATTGATGAATTAATAAATCTATACATCTAAGGGCTGCTTTAAGAATTTACCACTAATGTTTTCCCTATTAAGAATTTTACCACTAGTGTACTTTGGTTCAATATTTCATTGATAAAAAGTTAAAACCATGACACGATTATATACAATATTTGTTCTAAGAGTTGTATTATACATAGCAATACTAATTAATTATGCAAAGTAACCCCATTGGTCTTTGAAATATGACTAATAATCTTTGTAGTGCAGCCACTAAAGCCAAACCATTAATACAATTTATTGGGTTAACCATTAATTTAACAATACTATGGACTATTATTAGAAGATTTCATAGCCAAATAGCCATTAGCTTCAATTATTAATCTCAATTAAGTGCCCAAAAAAATGTCTTATTAGGGATATCCAAATCAAAGTCAAACCTATAATTTCAGCCTCAACTTTGCGAAGTAGTTTGGAAATTTCCACTAAAAGCGATATTTATACTCTGGATTATTTTGAAACTTATCAACTAGTTACCAATTACACCATAATGTTAAATAATATTCAACTCATTATTTTTTGGATCTTAAAAATTGGTCAATTTGAAAATTAAATATTCAACCTCGATTTCATTTATTTATCATACGCATACTTGAGTTTGATTTATTATTTATTTTTAAATACTGTTATGAGTAAATTTTTTTTTACATTAACTTTAATCAAAATTTCAATCTTATTTACTATTTAGGGTACTTGCAAACAAATTAATAAGTTCAGGTGTGTAATTACCATTTTAGAGTGTTAATAAGCAAAATGGTGTAATTGCAGTAGGTGATAAGTTCAGCGGTGTCAAATGTACGAGAGTCGATTTAGAGTAAAATTTAACTATTTAAAAATTCACGGTACAAGTAAATAGTGCCAATAGATTCTAACTCGAGACTTTATTCCCACATATAGTTTCTTTTCATTATTAAGAAGTACATGTAACTAAAATAGTATTTCGATCATCAAAATTACTGCACAACAAAAAAAACTTAGATTAATAACTCATTAATAAAATTTAA